GGTGATGCTGGCTGGACTAAGTCTGCGTGTGTTGTAATCACCATGGCATAATCACCTCAGCAGGTAGTGAAGCCAGACCTTGTGTGGGATTTTTACCTGTTAGAAAACACGGGTGTTAATTCACCACAGAGGGTAAACAAGCCTCAAAGCAGCCAAACGTGTGCACACAAACAGCCTTAATATGAAAGTTTATTCAAAGACACTAGTGACGTAATATCACAAAGTGGATTTTTGTGGATCCCGTGCTTCACTACTGATAACAATCATTTGTTACGTTTCTTTAAGCGTCTGCTGTGAATTTAAGCTATTTTAATGTAATTGCCACTACCATGGTTCTTCGGTTTCAGATACACGGCAACCATTGCTCTGACAGCTGGATAATTTCTGAAATTTTAATTGCCATACCTTGTGTAGGTATTTTTATTTATTTAAAAATGTGTCTGTACTAAATCAATCAATTCTCCAGCAAGTAAGGTGTGTTTAAATCGGCGCAGGTGATGCCGCTCTACACCGTTCAGAGAGTAACTCGTTCTCTCTGAGAAGTCTGTCTTCATTTGTAGAGGTCTTTGTCACGTGACACTGATTTTACAGAAATTTGTGACAATAGAGCATCGACAGCTTGAGCAGGAGACATAGATTCAAAGCATATTCAGTTTTAGCTATATAGTGGTAAATTACAACAACTGTCAGCTCAATGCACTTTATATTGTAAGGTAAAACCCGACAATAAAGAGAAAACCCCAGCAATCAAACAACACCCTATGAGCAACCACTGGGGACAGCGGGAAGAAAAAAAGTAATGTACAAAATTTTCTTACATTAAGAAACCCCCAAAATCAGGCTCAGGGAGGGAACGCTGTCTGCCACGACTGGATGGGGGTGATGAGAGGAAGACAGGATAAAAGACATGGACGATTAAATGGAGAGTGGTGTATAAACACCATATAGTGAGTGAAGAAGAAAAACTCACTGCATCATGGGAAGCCCCCAGAAGCCTTGGCTTATTAGTCTAAACTAAGTCTTTCACACAGCAGCTGATCCCCTGAAGCAGGGTTACTTAAAACAAAGCAGAAGATGGGGATAAGGTGGAACTGATTAAGTGTTTAAGTCAAAACTGAACAGCACAATGCCAGCATCCATATCATCTGCATATTAACCCATATTTAGCCACAAAGTTTCTTGTATTTGAATGAATGAACTCTTACATAAGGGCAGGGGAGGAGCAGGAAGCTGGATATACTGTAGATTGGTGTTAGAGCAGTTAAATCAAAGATGTGTTTTTTTGTTTTGTTTTTTCCAGTTAAGGTATTGTTTACATCACATTATTAGTTTTCAGTGAATAAATAATACTAATATCATTGTACTCCTTTTTTTTTTTTTTTTTGTCCTCTTCAGCTGTTAAAGATTACGAGACTGCTGCAAAACACAGCGAGGGGGACCGTCACATCAAAGAAGGTCTGGAAAGAGCACAGCGGCTACTCAAACAGTCTCAGAAGAGGGATTATTATAAGATCCTTGGAGTGAAGAGGTGGGAATCGGTCAATGGATTTGGGAATTTTTGCAGATCAAGTTCAGCAAGAAAATGTAACACATTATTGCCAATCAGTTGGGGGAGAATTTAATCTTGAAAAGTAGTTTTCTTATGAAAGACCGCTGGTTTGCTTTAAAGTTGCTTTTTTATCAGGCCAAAACATCACTGCTCTTGAATATTTTATTATTGATGCCTTTTGAACATTTTTGAGTTTAAAAGGTCTACTGATAATCTAAGATGGAATACAAATTTACAGCCATGGAGGCATTTGTATTACACTGGAGCTAGAAAACTAACTCTGACACTTGGATGAGTATTTTTAGGTCTGGCTTATGTCAAAATGAGAAAAGAAAAGCTGTTCTTATCTTTGACAAATGTGCTGATAATGCTGTCGCCGTGGTCACAGAACTGCCCAGAAAAAGGAGATTATCAGAGCCTACAGGAAACTGGCACAACAGTGGCACCCAGACAACTTCCAGGATCCGGAGGAAAAGAAGAAGGCAGAGAAGAAGTTCATAGACATCGCTCAGGCTAAGGAGGTTCTCACTGATCCAGGTAATGTGTGTGTGTGTGTGTGTGTGTGTGTGTGTTGAAAGTTGTTAATGCATGCCTAAATCACTTCAAGAGTTGCTGTACCATTTAACATTACCCTTTAGATTGTTCTCTACAGATCTAACACTAATGGTTTTAGAAAAAGAGACATTGATTTCTAATTCAAGTGTGTGACAAGAATCTTCACGTTTTCCTAGAGATGAGAACCAAGTTTGACCACGGAGAAGACCCCATGGATCCAGAGAGCCAGCAGGGGCACCATCATCATCACTTCCACGGCGGTTTCCACGGCTTTCAGGGTTTCAATCCGTTTGGCTCCGGGCCCTTTAACTTCAAATTCAACTTCAACTGAGGCGGCTTACTCTTCAGCACAGCTGGAGTGAATATTTGTACTTTCCTCCCTATTTAAAAGGGAGATCACTGGCATAAAAAGACTGTTCACAAGTATCATAAAAATGTGGAGCATAAGGTGACTTGATTCAGTGAGTCTAATTAATTAAAAATGCATCTTTGCTGTGGAAATCAAAACTTTGGGGGAAAGGTCTCCTACTCTGCTAACAAATATCAGACTTGTGTGAAGCGGCTTTTATCTGTCAGATCTTACTCTTGTATCCTCTCCACAAATTGTACAATCACTTCACATCCATTCGTAGGAATGTATTTGTACAGAGGTACAGTATTATTTTTGTATGAATGGAGGGTTTTTTGAACTGTAAATAAAGAGCTATTTATGTACAATAAATCGAATCAAGAGCATTTTTTAACCGACATCGACAGACTAAAGGGTAATAATTGTGACTCCTGAAATTCACGCTGAAAGGATATATATTGAAGAACAGACCAAGAAAATCTCCTCAAATACATCTTTTGGACCATGAATCATTAACTGACCTCAGTGGTGAGCACAACTCGCAAATAATTTTTGCAATGACGTTTTGTAGCAAAGGTTTATTCTTGATCCACCAAACAGTAATATAAACAGTTTAGTTTGACACAGCACAGTGAAAGATGGGTGCCCTGAGAGCAGCCTTCCTGCGCCCGTTTTCTTTAATGTTCACTTTTAAGACAGAAAAATCTGCCGTTTGCTTCAGTCCAGCAGCAACACTGATCTTGGGACAGTTGATTCCTGAGACAAAACTGGTTCATTGTGGAATTGAAACAAAAAACACAAAGAAAAACTGTAGAAGTACAGTGAAGTTGATAACTCATAACATGTAAACATATTGTAATAACTTAAAATCCCCTACCATCCATAAACCGCGACCTTAAGTGTGCAAATGAGGAGTTTTTCATCCGTAATATTAAAGTCTCGCCTGAGGGATGTACCACAAAGCAAGATGAATGCACTAGAACAATGATGACACTAAAGACGGGAGATTTCAATGTCACCAAGGTGGCTCTCTACTTGCAATGCACTCCTTACCTGCTCACAGTTTTGACAGTTCTGAATGACAAGCTGCTGTAAAGACTGCCATGTTTTCATAAGTTTTTAAAGAATGACATAGACGCTTGCTGTGGGATAAATATCCTTACGACTGGTTCTGATTTGCTGCCAAGTCAGTTTTATACTGTTGGTATTGCAGTTATTTGATTATTGGTTGACTATCACATCTTTTAAAACTGGTGTATAAAAAAAAGTTTCCAGGCTTTTGAGCCAATATTACAAATGTAACCTATTTTCAATTTAATAACTATTTTAGTGGCTAAGGAAGTATTTATTGACCTTCACTGAAGAGTAGCAGTGCTCTGCTTTCAAAATCATGAAAGAACATGACTACCACAAATTTACCAGAAATAAACTGTATACTGATTATGCAGGATGGCCCTTTTCAGAATTCTATACATCCTATTAACTGATTAATGTTTACATCAGTTTAATGGTGCAGCTGGAGATAAAGATTACTGTAATGACTTTATTTAATTGCAGGCTACCTTAATTCATTCAATAAAAGATAATTTATTGATTTATTTGCAAATAATGTGTACTCAAGCTTGAAAATGTAGAGAAGAGCATTTGCAGTAGAAGTAAAAAGCAGCCAACCCCTGCCTTTGGAGAACACCCCGATCTTGGCTGAAGTGAGTTGGTCCACTTTCTTAAGTGTGGGCCCGGGCCTGAAGCCTAAGTAAAAGGGCCTGGGCTAACAAATAACATTTACAACCACTGTCATCACACTCTGACTATATCTGATTCAGGCTTTAGCTTTTATGGTGAGCTAATGCAAAGAAAAAGCCTTGCGATGTTAAACTTGCTTCACAGTACACCCCTCCTGGCTGCTGAACTAAAGTCATATGTTACACCACACTCTTTTTTTTTCCTGCCTGGCTCTCAGTTGTCTCACAGCGTGTGCACGGGACACGAAGATGGCAGCAGTTGTACTGCTCTGCTTTTACATTTATTTTTAAGCTAAATGTTTTTCTTCACCTCTCCAGGTTGAATGTGGGCTTTTACTCAAACACTGAGATATAACTTAAGAAACAAGTTAATACTTTACCATCTAACGAGGGAATACTTTTTCATCACATGGTAAAAAAATAATTTTTGGAGTCGAGAGAAAACATCAAAAGAACAATTAGTGATTTTAAACAACTTTTTAGAGTTTCTTTTTTTGACATTACACGTTACCTTAAATCATAGAAAAGAAAAAAACAATGGTTTGCACCATAGAGGTGAATGCATGGCTACACCTGAGGGGACAGAACTGATGACAGAGCTACATGTGCTTGGGACAAAGACTACACCTTCACCCACCTACGATCCATGTCGCAGTCTTTGAAATACAAGAGCAGCATAGTTTGTATACTGATATTCGATGTTTGGTACGGTTAAAAAAATTATTTTATCCCCCAAAATAATGTAAAAATAACTGAATAGCTGAAGATACACCCCCTGTCTTTGGACAAGCAGCTAACAAAGATAAAATTTGTAACTTGGGCAGATAACTTTTCTGGTATCCAGAAAATCCAGAAAAACCTTTCAGTGTGTTGTCATTTCTGTGGTCTGAGAGGGAACTGGACTGGAAAATCTAGGCAGGGACAAAAGCCTGTGGCCAATTACAGGTCTTTTTGGGCCAGGTAATAAAAGTAATATAATATAATGAAGGATAATTCTTCCTTCAGAACATGCTGTACATCATTGGGTGGCAAAAATAGGAGAGGGGACTGCTGCAGGAGAAGCGTTGTTTCCTAAATGTCTGCCGAGGGGAGCTTTACATTTCAGGTGTGTAGATGCAAAGACGTTTAACACTTTCGTTTTTTTATGTAACAACTTGAAAAGCAATTTTTAAAAACTTTCATTTGGCAATTCAGTCCTAATGTTTTCATAATTATAAATTAAGAAGATGTAAAAGTAGCTTTTAAAATTTTCAAAGAAAGGTTAAATTAGATTCGTAGAAATGTGCCTTTGCTAATTTAATTCTTTGCTCACATTATCAGTGCAATAAATGCCCACTGTTTGTCCTTCAACACATACCTAATAAAGCCCCTTAATGGCCTCACGCTTTTACTCTCTGTTTTAGCTTCATTTTTCAGGAACCACTTACTTAACAAGATGTGTCTGTAGTGCTCAGCACAACACGAGTTCACGGCTGGCAGTTAACAATTACACCACGTGTTGATTCTCTAAGATGTACCGAGTGCAGAAGCAGGTATGGCATCTGAAAATATCACATCGTCCTCCAGCTGGAGATGTAACACTCCATGGCTATGTTTAGATGGAACTGTCTGTCTTCAAGCTTCACAGGTGGCCTGTGTGCAAAAGGTGCCTGCCTCCTTCCTCTTCAGCGTGGTGCTGGCAGACACTAAAGTTCATCACGGTGGTTGTCTGCTGTGAAGAGTATGGAGGGGAGAAAGTTGGAAAGAAATGCAGAGAATGATCACAGTGGTGAGAGAAGGGGTAAGAATAACCATGCAGAAGAGCAGAAAGACTTTGTAGCCCTATAAATATATCATTAGTAACCTTTTTTATGTTGTGAGGCAGCAGGAATCTGTTTTTGTGTTGTTGTGTCTTCCTGTTCCTGGACCCGTCTCAGCAGCTCTTTGATCTCCCTGTCATATTCAACCCACTCGGGCACAATCCTCGCTGCAGCCACCAGCTTGGGTTCCTTAGTCATTGGGTTATTGCACTAAACGAGAAAAGCAGATAAAAACACATCAGTCATGCCGCCAGTGATGCTCTCTCCCAACGAGTCAGATCGTCATTCTCAGCGCTGTCTGTGACAGGCATTTAAACCGAATTTGATTTCCAATTCGGTTAAAAGGACATTAGGCTATGTCTTGTGTCTGAATTACCAAGTGGTGACCTATACTACAATGAAACAATACTTCCTATTCCAGTCTACTGGAGCCTGTCTAGTAATTCTCTAAATTAGTTTAGGACGCTGCAGGATTGCTCCTCGGCTGCTTCCTAAATACCAATGCCTCATGGACAATTGTGGCAGCGAGGATGCTCTTGCATTTTAGAGCTGTAGCAGCTGCAGCACGCTATCACAACAAATAAAGCAGATAATAAGGCGTATAATGTAGCACAGAGATATTTTTCAATTAACCTCAAAAGAACTTAAAGAAGACACTTGTGGATTTTACAATCTCAATAAAAGGAACAATTTCATTTGAAGCTGAATTTTTCAGCAAAGACCATGTGTCCCGCTTAGCCTCCCACATTATTATTTAGTATTACGCAGTCAAATCTAATTGCTGTGCGACTCACCAGGTCTATAGTCTTAGCAGTGGTTTTAGAGGTATCATCACACCATGTCTCACACCACAGCCACTCCTGAGGAAGAGACTTGATGGCTACCTGGTGAATCATGTTGTTAGGAAGGTCCTACAAATATCACAAAACGAATTAAGTCTTGAAAGAGCAAACTCTGCAACACGTAATCCAACAGCACTATGCCGGAGTTATATACCTGGTCCAGGTTAGACAGACTGTTTGGGTCTTGGCTCAAGGCTTGGTACTGGCCTCGTAATCTGTCCCCGGCTGCAATTTTACGGAACTTCTTCAAATCGACTACATATAAGGCGCTGGAAGAAATATGAGCGGAGAGAGAGAAGACATGGAAAGCAGGTGTTAGAAATCCATTTCCTGAAAGGGGAAATCCCACCGGAATGAAAAAAAAAAAAAGTAAATGAAGATAAATACCCCAGCCGCATTCACATTATTGTACCTGACACACTATATTAATAAACCCAGAGGTGCAGAATATGTAGTTTCACTTAACACTTATTAGATTTAAGTCTCCCAGAGGATATTCAATGCCTCGTGTTTTTCCTGGTCTCACTGATCATCTCTCATCTTTGCTGCTTTTGTCCTGCTCTTTGGAGCTTAGCATCACGCTGGTATCCAATCAAGTCGCTGTGGTTTTCTGACTTTTTTTGTTCCGACACTATCAGTCGGTGGTGAAGTGAAACGTTCTGCTCTCTGTTCATCCACTAGCTGCCTCGCTGTCTGATTAGCCATCACACTGACAGAAGGAGAATTCAATACCACAAGCCTAGCAAGGAGCAGAACATTGTATTCATGACAGTGATTTATGATTTTATATGTGCCGTGACTGTATACAAAAATAAAGCACTTAACTCTAAGCCCACCTATGTAAACGGCTTCTCGCTATAAGTTAAATGTTCAGTTCTAAGGTGTATGACACCATATTAATCCATGGCACTATTTATTTAGCAAAAACACTAAGCCAATTGTGGAAACAGTGTGCATAGGAATTAACAAAATGCAGTGCATCATCAGTGATCTTAGAGAAGCAATCGTTGTTGTCCAGCAATCTGGGAAGGGTTATAAGGCCATTATCAAACAATTTAAAGTCCATCATTTTACAGTGAGAGACATTCGCAAGTGGCAAACATTCAGGGCAGTTGCTGATCTTCTCAGAAAAATATAAAACATCAAAGATCAAATGATTAGTAGAAGTTTACCTGATGTGGTACTTCCTGTGTCCCAGATGTGACGCCCAATATCCAGTTTTCCAGAAACGATACCCTTCCATCTCTCTGCGGCTATCACAAAATGGTGTGTAGCCATAAGGAGCACCCTCCAAGTCTAAATCCCTCAACTCTTTCAAATCAGCTCGAACTATCTGCAACACGCAGCGAAGACAGACTTTGGTAAGCAGCCAAAGAACAGATGACACTTCAAAAAGTCTCGCTTTCAGTTGCACACTCCAATATAGCGGTTTTCTCCGTCATTTCTGTTTGATCTTTACCTGGTCGGCATCCACAAAGATGATCTTGTCCACAGCTAAAGGGAATAGAACATCCAGGAAGAGGATCTTATATCCCCAGATAATCCTCTGCTTCTCAGTCTGCTGGTGGAGCCAACGGGGCCACTTGTACTGCACTAACTCACACTGAAAGTCGTATGACTCTACCATGTGAGAGATGGTGTCCTGACCACAGCAAAAATGAAGTCCAGAGGTTAAATTAATGAAATACAAAAGCTGGGTTTGCCTAGCGAAATATTCATGTGATGTAGTAAAGATTTACTTTGAAAGAAGGAGATAGGTAATTCTTGAGAAACCAGAATTTGACAGGTGTTTGTGTATGCCGAAGCACAGACAGCATCATTATTCTGAATTGGAGACAGAATGGGAAAAGGTTAAGTTTGAGGATCAGGGATAAGAGGAACACAATGCGTGGCGCTTGAAAAGGAAGTGCGTGTTTGGAAAGTAAAACTGACCCACCTCAGAAAACGCTCATACAGATGGCCCGAGGCCACAGAAAAAATGTTCAGAACGTCGTCTTTTTTCTTCTCTCTGTCATCCTTCTTTGAGCCACCACCTGTGATGCTGTAAATGAGACCATAATACACGAGTCAGTTGTGTTTGGATTGGATGCGTGTTTTTCATAGAGTGACAATAAATCAAAACTAAGCCAACAGCCACCATGCTTTTGTACTGCCAGAGGTAACAGCAGCTGTAACAGCCATCAGAAAACACTTTCAAACAAACCATGCAACGCGATGCAACACACTGAGATGATTTATTCAAATAAAATGATAATAATGGGGATGGAAATGCTGTGGAAATCAACACATTTGATATGATTTTCAGCTCCTGCTGGCTCCCAACGAGAGGACTGAAATAAAGTTTTAGAACAGACCCAGCAAACATTATATAGCTCTTCATGTTTCCACCCCCACAACATTAACAGAGTCCATGATAGAAAGTGAACGATTTATTTGAAAGCAATCACTTAAGATCTATGCATAGATGACCTGCTTTAAATGAGAGCATCGTGTCATAGGATTGATGACTTTGGCAAGGATGACACAAATACTTCTGGCACCATTTTTATGATTCAAGCTGTAAAGTGTAAGTGCACTATTACAATTCACTGGTGCAATTTTGACACAGTGTGGCGTTTGTGCCACTTCAAAAGAAAATGGGTTATAATGCAAAAACGAATTATCATACATTATAGTTAATTGTGTTAGGGCTTGGTTAAAAATCAAGCCAATCACATCAGTGTCCATTATCCCCTTTAAAAGCAACAGTCTTCTTCATATAGAAAGTCTGTGGCAGCTTTTCCTGAGGAGAGACTTCCAAAGAAACATGCAGACTTATCTATAGTAGCTCTTTTAATAAATTTTTTGTAAACATGTTTTAATTGCTTCCAGATTTGATTGAAATTATGATCCTCACAGTTTATTTAAACCTTTATGTTGTTGCTTTCTACAGATTCTTTTCATAATTAAAACTGGGGTTCAGGTGCAATTATATCAGACCCCTTTTTAAAGAATTATTCACATGGCCGTTGCCCTACTACCCTGTGTCGCTGGATGAGGGTACACAGGAAGAATGGCCGTGAAGGAATACCATGATTACAACTGAATGATTTAAATGACTTAAATAATTTTTCAAGAAATGGAAATTGAACTGAATCAGCGTAGTATGGGGATGAGTACTCTATTAGTTGCATAGTAGATGAATAAAAACTGTATTGTTTGTTGGACACAGGTCTCTCTTGTAAATGAGAAACTGAGACTACCTGTATAAATAAAGGTTATATAATTTAATTAATTAAAAAAAAAATCAACAGTGTTTTAGAAAAAAAGACTAGTAGCTTTTCAAATGTGAAGACAGAAGATTGGAGTGATTTTGTAGAGTAATGTGGAACACACATAGGAAGATAATGCCAAGCAAGTCAGCACATTACCTTTCAGACAAATGTTAGCTTTTTAATTAACTTAAATGTAAAAGAACAGATAAAAATCGACGAGCTAAAATATTTATATGCTGAGATAAGGGCACAAATGCAGGAAAAATCCAAAGTAAGGACACTCTCCGCACTTGGGAATGCATCAACATACCCTAACCGCTACTAAAGACCAGTGGTTCATGATGCAAGGCACATTTAGCGGACAGAAATCAGGACTTGTGCTGGAGGGTAGATGAGTCTGCAGTCAAACTGTGTCCTTGTCTGTAATAGACTGCTGATGAGGGAAGGAGTGTCTCTCCCACACTCAATCACAACCACAACCTCAGCCCCCAGGCTTCAGGAAGACACCAGTGAGTGAGAGGGAGGTGTGAAGGGAGGGGAGGGAGAATACAGTTTGTCCCTGCATGTCCTCTAAAACCAACTCTTTCAGGCACATCTTACCGATAAGAAAGATATACCCACAAAACACAAACTCAGCAATGGCCCTTTATTTACTTATTTTAAATCTGTAGTTCTGAAAATAATGTGCCTGCAGTCCTCTTCAAGATAAAGTATGACTCTTGATAGTTGAACAGTTGGCTTCTGGGTAGTCACCACACATCGGTGGGATCTGGGGAAGCCGACTGCCTGCCATGACTAAGCCAGGCATTATGAAGGGCCTCCAGCACAACAACAGGGTTCCCAAGATAAGCAGCTTTGGAGGGTCAGGTGAGAACCTGTTTGGCTGACTCACCCAAGATAATCTGGATCTCTGGAAGGGTCCACAGAGCTCTGTATAAATCCTGAGCGGTGGACAACACCAACTGGACAAAGCTCTACTTCTGTTTGCCCTCTGCCTATTTAGATTGAACAGGGTGTTTCGACATTTACCGAGTCATTCATTGCCCCCATTGTAACTATATACACGCGCAACACACCATGACAGGTTAAAAATAACATTCAGTTTCTCCATTATGGAGAATCAATACATTTGCCTTACTCAATCTCACTATATATAGAGCAATATAAGATAACCTAATAACAAAGATTTCAGCAAATAAATACATGGAAAACACTTTCCATTCCGGCTATCTGGATTCAGTTTAGAAAAACAATGACACAAATGTGCTTTTTACAGCACCCTTCACCTAAAACCCGAACATCTCCCTCAGGTAACATCAGCGCTGCTCTCTCTCACACCCCATGTGGTCCACATGCTTGGTCTTTCTAAGAGCAGCATAACAAACACTGCTAAGTTCCTCAGGCTGGGTAGAAACAATTACTTAATTTTTTCCATGCTAGAGACAAACGGCAGAGGCAGCTAAATGAGAAACTCCAAACGAAACAAAAAAAATACGCAAGAATGTGTGTGTGTGTGTGGGGGGGGGGGCATATGTACTCAGTCCTGTTATTGCTCTAAAGCGATGTTACTTTAAAAACAATCAACATCTCTCTCGCTTAGACTTAGTGATGCTTGCTGACATGAATGCATCTCACTGGGAAAATACATCGTCTTCAGCTTTTAACAATGAATCTCTTGAACTATTTTAAGGATATAAATGAGGTAATGCTTTAAGGTCACCGTTACCATTAAATCGACTATCTTTTGGTAAAATCACAAACTACAACGTCTTTGATGAAATCTTGGGATTTTAACTTTGTAATATCTGAGCTATTAAATAGCTGCCCTCAGCTGCTTCTTGTTTGTGGGTCTTTCTGACTTCAGTAACTGAAAAGCTGTTCCACTGGGCTGAGACAGGTGACTGACCTGGCCATTAAAGAATATCCAATTTCTTTGCCTTAAGAAATTCTTGGATTGCTTTTGTGGTGATAACAGTCATTACCAATTTATACTACAAAGCACTGACTGATAAGTTTTGCAGAAATTTGCTGAATCCAAGCAGAGAGTAGAGTCTGTACACTTTAGAATTCTATCATCATGCATAAACACTAGTGACTCTATTCCACTGGCAGCCACACATACCTATGCCAAAGCATTGCCTCCACCATGTTTGACAGATAATGTGGTATCTGGTGTTTGGCATGCTGCTTTGCTCCTTCTCCGTACTGTTCTGTATCCTTCATCTGGCCTTCCTGCTCCTTAGCACAGCCAGTGGTTTACAACCTTCTCGTCAGGCCTCTGTATTTGCATTCATGAAGGTGTCTCTTGATTCTACTACTTGATTTGGTTAGATGTTCTGAAAATACTTTTCTCTCTGGACTTTCTATCAAAAGTTCTACTAAATAGCTAATAAATACAAGCTCAACACTTTGAATCAACTCTAGATGTTAAATTAAGTTTTGAATATTGTGATAAATGGCTTCACTTGACAGTTTAACTGCTCCTAAGTCGATTGCCCTCCAAAATGAAGTACTATGCATAAAAAAGCTTTAATTTTTAAACAGTTAATGCAAGATTTTTCCCATACTTTTTGAATTAATATAGAAGAACTGCACTTCAGTCACATCTTTATTTTATAATAGTAATGTATGAGGCAAGATTACAAAAGAAAAAAAATAGTGTTACTATCCAAATAGTAAAGGACTCGACTGTTTATTGATATAATGGTGTAAATTCACATTAAACATGTTTAAAAGTGTCAAATGACATACTTCAGTATGTGTACAAGTAATTCATGTGAGCCAAAACTTGAGGCTTCACGCTGGCTCCTAATCCTCAGTTTCAGACAGTTGTTTTTTCTACTCTTTGCTCTGCAGGATGTTAATGAGAAGAGATATCCTCTCTTACGGACAACAAGCTTCTAACAGACTCGAGACTTTCCTGTCCTAGTTTTGAAAGGAGGAAAGAAAGCACTCTCATCTACAAATGCAACTGAATTTTAATTTTAGATATATACATTAAAGCCACTTAAGGGAGATTTTTTCCCCCTAGAAACCATCTTATTAAGTATTTTATGTAACTTTTTAATGCTATGGGTATTGTCATTATTTAAATATAAGCCTATCATGGGACAATAAATGCAACTTAGAAATGGTCTTAAGAATCCATCCAGTTCAATTTGTTTTATTATTTAGCAGCAGTGATCCTACTCCAAGCACCTCTGCCAGCACATCAAGGACATGCTAGATCATTCATTGGTACTTCAGTTATAACTCTGACTGCAAGTACTTTTTTATGGTAACATTTAGCTACACTTGACAATACAAAAACACCCCAGGATATAAGGCCCACAAATAATATCTAGACCTGATAAGCACTATACAATCCAATAGCAAATACAGCACACTACTGAATGTGAGGTTCCAGGCATAAAAGATTCAGCACTGTGGAGAAGAAGTCCACTTAAGCAACAAAGCTGAAAAAACTTCCCCTCACTCCTATCGTCTTTCAGTAGGAGAGCTTCTCCACTCATTAATTCACTCTATTTTTTAAGTATAGCAGCAGGTATAAGGTCATCTCAAGATAAATCATTAATGAGTCTCATTAATGATTGGGAAGCGTATCTGTAACCGGAAGGTTGCCGGTTCGATCCCCGGGCTCTCTGTCCTGGTCGTTGTGTCCTTGGGCAAGACACTTTACCCTACCGCCTACTGGTGTTGGCCAGAGGGGCCGATGGCACGATATGGCAGCCTCGCTTCTGTCAGTCTGCCCCAGGGCAGCTGTGGCTACAACCGTAGCTTGCCTCCACCAGTGTGTGAATGCGAGAGTGAATGAATAGTGGCATTGTAAAGCACTTTGGGTGCCTTGAAAAGCGCTATATAAATCCAATCCATTATTATTTAGTCTGATGCTAGAGCACAACAACTCAATAACAAAAGATCACAAACGATGACATCAGACAAGCTGTTTCTTTCTACCAAACTCTGTCAGGGTTTAACCACCTGCTCAAAGTGCACCAGCTGAACTTCAGTCCCCATATAACATCTTTTCCAGTGCTTCAATCAGAGGCTGAAGTAGGCTAAACATAGTGAAATACCATCCAACATGAAATATGAAAGCACTGGGTACTGCTCTTCTGCTCTGTTCCAGCAGACACGTAACATACATATTCCCAGAACAAGGGAAAAAAAATCAAGCTAAACACTCCTACTTTATGTTACTCATGTCAGCAAAACAGGATTTGTGATGAATCCCATAGCACTGTTTATGACTATTATTTCTGATTCTGAACAATACAGCTTAATGCTGTGTGTGTGCAGATATATGCAAGTGAACACAGTAAAAAAAATAAAAGTTAACCTTACGCATGAATACAGGCTACAAACTACCTCATGACTTGCCGAAATTGTAGAAAAAAAAAACATCACATGAATAAACAAATGCAAAAAAAAGAAGAAAAAAACCCTCTCTACAGTATTACCATTAGAATAGAATATCACGACTCATTCCCATTCATTACAATACTTATGAGAGCATGAAAAGCGACCAATAAACACTGCATGCTAATGAGTATGACGAGAGGTATTAGGTGTTAAATGGTTTGCAGCAAAACTGCCTACCTTTTCTCAAATGTGCTCCAAACACTTCACACAGCAAGCATTAAGTGAGGAGACAGGATCACACAGTTAGGAAGGATTTGGGAGGAAAACACACAAATGCACACACATACCTACAGAAGCACATATTTTTTGCAAGACTAGATCTTACAGCATAATATTGCAGTCTGGATCCAGGGGAGGAGTAAGATCTCCTGAAACCGCAATGTATAATTGACAAATGGAAGGCGCATCAGCACATCTATCAATCCATCAATGAGCTCACAGCTGTTACTGCCTGTCAGCTGGAGAAGGGCTTTAAACCTAAAGCCAACCAAATATAAGCTGTATTTGAAGAGATTACGCACCTTGCTATGGATTCCCATATGCCTTTGCTTTCACTAGCTTCACTTAAAAGATCTTCGCCAAGCTTGTCTGCCTTTTTCTGCACCTATAAATATAAAATACACAGAAAATAAAACAATACTGGAAAATATTTTAGCATGGGTTATGTAAAATTCTTTTGACACCATAAATTTGTAATCAGTCAATCCTAGGCACATCTTAGAAAACTTCCAGCTCTAATTTCTTTATATTTGGTGAGAAAAATGAGAAATAGCTGCAGGGACTTAAAAAAATGTGCATACATACATTGGAAATATTTGTACAATTTTAACAGGCTTGAAAGTCAATATTTGGCATGACCAATTTCTTTAAGTAGTCTTCAGGAATAGTTCTCCAAGCTCTTTGAAGGAAATTAAAAGCTCTTCTTTGTATGTTGGCTGTCTTTTTATTTTCCATTCTCTCTGAAGATGATCCCACACTGCTTCAATAAGACTCAGGGCTCTCAGGAGGCCAATCCATGACTGATAGTGTTCCACTGTATTTTGCCCAGGTATATTTTTACTTCATTGACAGTGTATTTGTTGCTCATTGTCATGCTGAGAAATGAAGCTGTTGCCAATCAGATTCTTTCCAGATGGTACTGCGTGGTGGACCAAAACCAAACGATGGAACAACAGTGCCTTGAGGCAAACTGTTATTATGATTATGGGACCAGATGCATCTCTGTGATCCTGTCACTTTTTCTTTTTAATTCAATTGTCAAGTTTCCTAAACTTTTTTTAAGAGCACCCTGCTTAGACCATTTAAAAGTCTGACTCATTGGAAGCAAAATATAAAGAAATAAGAGGTGGCTCAAGACTTTTGTCCAGTGTATTTTAGCTTGGATTGTGTTAAGTTGTCTTCACACCATTCATTTGTGATCCGTATATCATAGAAAACTGAAGAAAAGCATTTTCAGTGTGACATTTACAGTAGCACATCCAACAGGAAACACACTCACCCTGACTTTGATGATCTTACTATGGAAACTGTTCAGCACAACTATAACATCACCAGCATCTGCGGGTGAATCAGTTCCATCGTGCCTGAAAAAGTGGATAAAGAGTGAGAAAATGCTAATTGTTACTGAGAGTTTTAATACTTTTTTTATTTGTCAAACAATCTGCAGCTCACAGGTATACATGTAAAAAATTTAGACGTAGAAACAGACATACATTCATCAACAGTCATAAGTCAAGTCTCTGTTAGACAAAATAACAAACGCGTTTAAATAAGAACAATAAAATTAACGTTCTTAGGATTTAAATCCCTGTTTTTAACACTGCTACTGCAAAGTGATCATTCAAGCTTATAATCTAGAAGTTTTGCTCAGCTGAAAAATGTGAAACTCAAATAGACAGAAATACATTTAAAGCATTTGTTTTTTGCTAATTTTGTGTTCAAAGAACATTAGAACACCAGAGCTAATATTTCAAGTAACGCAATCAGTCTAAGACCTGTAGTGTCTCTGTTGCAAACATTAAAGGGAAATACATGTGATCAGTGACAGAGACTGCTTTACATGCTTCACCCATGGAAATAACACATGAAGGAAACAACAGCTGCTAATGGACCGACAGTGTGAGCACACACTTAAAATTAAATAGTGGGACAGCTGCCAGGGTCACACTCTGACCATATTCATTACCCTCCATCATCATTAAGAATCACCTTACCATTATTTTACCCATCACTACTTCCCAGCCTTGCTCTATATACTCGTAGATTTAATGAGAAAGTCTGTGCAGTATTGATTCCGTAAAACAGCCTTTCAATGTAATTGTTTTAGGACTGATTTTCCCAGCACAGAATGTGTTTTGGCAGGCAGAATCTGCTGGGCCTAATGGTGAAACACCAGAGAGCAAACTTCAGGCGGAGATGAGCAATAGGCCATGATGCACTACAAGCCATTACAACCTCAATGCTTACTAAAGGCAAAAATCTAACCTTATCACTATGATAAATGCCCCTCTCTCATTGGAGCCAATGCACCCCTCCACCGCTCGTGCTCAAGTGCTGCTTGTATTTTGCCCCTTCTGCTGTCAATGGTGCAAGTCAGTCTTTAGGGCTTGTTTTAGAAAGCACGAGAGATCAATCTGTATCCCTGCTCTGAGAAGAGGAGAGCTGGCCATCTCATTCATCGCTGTCAGAGCGAGGTGTCTTGGCAGCACGGGTGGAAGAGGAAAATTCACACTCTGGGACTGGAGAGCGCAGACAATCCCACTAGGCTCTGATCGGCCACCTAACCAGAGCAGAGTGCCGCTAACCACAAGAATAATGACACTGCCAAGGTGAAAAATGACATCACCTCTTAGCTTCACCTGGAGGATTGGGGGATAAATCTTGGTTGTCTGAAATGATTCGAGAAGAACCGAGGGCTGTATATGTCCTAAATCTTATGTGAGGATAGCCAGAGAGAAAAGTATCTGTGATTGTAGGGACATCTGGACCAACGCACTAGAAATGCCCATACAGACTCACATACACAGTTGGGATTACCACCACTTTGCTGTAAGGCACTGCCGCTTTGTTATGTTACGAAGTAAAAAGAGGTTCCCTTAAAAAATAGAAGAATTTGATTTATTTTAGATAAAACTGAAAAGCGCAAAAAGCACATTTCAAGTGCAGAATTCAAAGAATGCAAGGACTGAAAAAGATGCATTTGCTAGATATTTATCCAACAAACCAAAGCAAAGTAATGTTTTTATTTATCCAGGAAAATTAGACATCCACAGCTCGCTCACTTTAGTATGTGGAGCCTTTGACTCCTACGCCATCCTAACTAAAACACATTCTGCTGCTGATATTCTGTTGTCTGAGGTAGATGCCATGGCAGGTGACCAGCTGAATCATCTCTCTACTCTGTCTTCTCTTTAATAGCAACCCTTTCCTCCTACCTGTCTCTCTCAGCTCAATGCTGAGCAGAACTCTGAGCACTCATCAAAACCTTGCGTTGCTACAATGTCAGCAGTGGTCCACGTTGCCATAGTGATGGGTTTCATAGCTACCAGAAGGAAATGGAGAGTTATCTGAAAGCAACTTTGATGTTGAGCTATGGATAAAGGTGCCCAATAAACATGACTTATTTACTTAGATAACTTCTATCTAAAGGTCTATCTAGAAATATCAGGACTTCAAAACAGTTTTCATGCTTGTGGCTCTGTACCCACCAGACAAGATATGCATAGGCATAGGATGTTTAGAAATTGTACAAATGAACATAAACATGAATAAATCTGGTCCTTTTTCCTAGTTTTGTGAGTGAAATGTAGTTGGGGCTGAGAACAAGTGACTGACTCTGCTATTGTCAAACAAATACTGCTACACTGAATTTGCAGTAAGTTTTAAACCTGGTTTTAACCTTTACTCTCCAGTACTCTCCTTATTGTGGTAGACTACAATGACCTGCATTGTGGAGTACAGCAAGCAGTAGGATATTGTGAAGATTTATCATTTGTCACAAATAGGACCCTGGAATCATCTGGGCTTTTTTGAGAGCTCCTTTGACGGCATGTTGACTGTTAGCTGCTTAACTGATGAAGAAATAAAAACAGAGAAGAACTCACGTTAGGATTTGATAGATTTCTTCTGATCTCCCTTTACGTAATCTTAGGATCCAGGCTCCAGGATTTGCTTTCAGCTGGAAGTATCCCTGTTTTGGTGGAAATGGTCTTAGAAATGGCAATTAAAAAATATAATTCATTCTCAATGGTAAATGGCCTGTATTTTATAGCGCTTTACTCAGTCCCTAAGGACCCCAAAGCGCTTTACACTACATTCAGTCATTCACACACACTGGCAATGGCAAGCTACATTGTAGCCACAAGTGCAGCCAGGAGGCAGCCAGGGATCGAACCACCGACCTTCTGATTAGTGGCTGACCTGCTCTGCCACCTGAGCTACAGCCACCCCATGGCTGGGCTTCATTCTCAATCCTAGTGCAAAGACGCTATGCTTCTGGACTTAACACAGTGCAAGAAAATTTGGGTTGTAGTATAAAAGGTTGCTGACCAGGTTAGCCATGACAATGGTGTCATACATGAGTGGGTCTCGGCTCATGCCCAGCGTAAATTGAAGTCCACGGGGAGGCTGGCCAGTTGACAGGTCAAAGCAGTGGCCCTCTAGCAAGAGGTGCTCCAGTTCAAATTCTGCTGCCACAACCCTGTTCACCTGGAAAGAAACAAACAAACAAATTGCAGAGCACTAAAATAGATGGGGGGAAGCACCTTGGCGCTACCTAAATGTGAGAATGATGAGATCACTGGGTAGTAATGACTCAGCATTACAATACCTCCTGCAAATGGATGTTATCCAAGTCATACGGGCTCCGGACTGCCTGCACCATCCAGCTCTCAGGTGTGATCATATTAAGAGTGAGGAGCGGAGTTTCTGGGAGCTCCATGAAGCGGGCAACTGGCCCTGGAGACACTGTGTCATTGGCCAAGAAAATAACATCCGGCTCCAAAACAAAGCGGTAAAAACTGTGAAGACAAGCAGAATCAAGATAAGGGCCATTCCATAAATTTCCGTTCAATATATATCATTAAATAAAAAAATAAATAAACTGACCTCAAGATCAGCTTATTTTTTTCTGTACAAATATTTCAGCCTATTATGAGCATCTTGTAATTTTACAAGTCCTTTTTTCAAAACCTTTTAGTCCTCATAGCTTAAGTATATGAGACAGCTATATGGCATTTCCAAGCCTAAAAGTACAGCTCTGTTAAAACACACAACAAGATATTTTTTTACACACACTCCAAGTGTCACAACCTAAAGCCAGAACAATTATCTATAAGTAAGTTTGAGCATCAATATTCTGAGATGTGTCATAGTTTCAAGATCAAAAATAAAACCAATTTAACGTCTATGACATCGAGTAACAGAATCAAGCACTGGTATCCTGGATGTTTTATCTGTTATTGAATAATTCACTAAATATCATCATGTTGAATAAGTGGCTGGTTAAAACAAGTTGCAGCATAGTAAAGGTTTACTTTTTTTAATCTACTTTTAGGTATCAAGGTAATTAAATATACTAGAGGTATTTAAGAGAAATGATTCAGAGTGGGTCAGGTGGGAAGGATTCACTGATTATCATTGGATGACCTATAATATGCAACAAATAAAAGGCCGAACCTTTTTCCACTGGACCGAGATAAAAATTCCATCCAAAAACTCATTGTCCTCTTCAGCAAGCACTGAAATGATGACATGTTGTGCAATAGTCTTCTTTCTGAGACACGAGAGATGGGCCCTGTTGTGACAGCTGGGTATATACAATTTCTTCAAAGTGAGGAATCTAATTCTATTACTGCCAGTGTTCCTGCTCAACCAATAACAGAACTACGTGCTGCACTCTGTGTACCTGGAAACTTCTCTTTCTCCATCATTACAATTGGTGCAGAGGCTAGCTCCAGGCTAATCTTTATGCTAATTGCTTTTCTTCAGTGTGCCCTCTGACACAGAAGACTTGTAATGAGCGTAAATAACGTGGTAGATAAACATGACCAATGCTAATTCTTTTAATTTGCAATGCCTATAACACATTTCTTATTTAGAATGAGAATTCTCAGAAGTTATTACCAACTAAAGCAGCAACGTGGTGACTCCAGAGTGAGATGGGAGCAGTAGGAAAAGTTAAAGTTAAGGAGGCAAAACCAAGCACACTACAAGAAACACACAGTGCTCATTTGATTGGTTCCAATTTGTGAGATGGCCAATTCCCCACAAGACGAAAAGTGAGAGAAAGAAGATGAGCAGCCCAGTGGTCTCTGCGGCAGTCTCACTGCTATGAGAAGTACACTACTGAATAAAATGAATCCAGTGACATAGAGCAGGATTCATGTGTTCCCACCGTCAGCAGTATCTCCAGGGGCGAGCTGTAAGATTACCAAGCCTGTGGCTCTAAAAAGTAAAACGAAGTAGATACTTTGCGTTAAAAAAAAAAGATTAAAAAATAAATAAATAATAGTACAAAATGAGTCCACTTTCAGATTTTTCTAGCGAGAGTATTTAAGGATATATAATATTTTATTTTTTTCTTAAAAGTTTGGTACTGTTTCCACAAACCACAGATCTCCAGCAACGCCAACAACAATGTGTGGCTGGGTGATCCTGTTTGTTGTTTTTTAGAGTCCGTCCTTCACCCATGAGCTCACATTTAGTCAGGCAGAAAGTGAAAATTGCATATAAAGAAAGCAAAACACAAAACACTTTTCCCACAAAGGTAAATACTATGATACATGTCTTTGTTGTTATATGCTGAACTATTAGAGGATTAATGTTGCAGTTTGATTGTAGACATTTAGTTTACTTAGATCATATAGTGTACTTTTATTGGCTACTTGATAGAAATGTAGCAAGCCTTCAGTTACATTAAATACAGGCAAGTTGTCAGTTGGGAGGACATGGAGTGGATGGGTTGAAGAGAGTAGATGTGCCAGTGACTTGTGGAGGGACATATCCTTAATTATACTGGTACTATGTCTGGTCAATTCAAGTCATTAAGAAAATCATCCCTGGAAAGTGAAGATTTAATGCTTAAAGGATTTTTGGTTTTGGTCATCTTTCTTTTTCACAAAAATAAATAAATAAAAGCCCACACCACATCTGAGCTGAATGCTGATGAACAGTTTCAACCTTTAATTTGCTTTTTTTCTACTACTGTTTTCACTGCATGGTTTGAACTGCAACAATGAAGGTTGTAAGCAATTTGCCCGGAGATACAAGTGGAGGCCCAAAGCAATAAGGTACTATTATTAAGCAGATTGCATCTGTGCAGTATAAAGGACGGGCCAAGTTAGAGATGCTAAGTCTGCAGCAGTAAGAGGATACACAAACAAGCCAAACAGGAAAATTTAATTACTGTTGGAGCTAGATCTTACCTCTTGAGAGGCATCTCAGACAACTTGGCCCTGCAGTTCATAAACACCTGCAGTCTCACATTGACCACTTGACTGAGCACCTGCAGGATTCACAGAAAATATGACCCAGTTAAAAATCAAGAAACAAGTACAACTTAAAGTGGCTGAAATGTGTAAAACACACGTGAGCTGTTTTCTTACTAGTTACTTATTATATTGAACTTTTAAAAGTTCTTCAGTGGGAAAGCATAGATATCCTTACATACGTTTCAAAAATTATTTTTTCAGTTAAAGAAAAATATTTTATATAATTATATATATAAAAAAATATTATATTATATATAGTACAATTGCATTTGCAAGATATGAAAGTTTGAGTAAATCTCAGTTCAATTACAATGCAATGAAAATAATACAAAGATGAATACAAACTTTTCTCAAGTTCAGGATCTGACATGTTGTATTTGTACTACAGTGCTGTGAAAAAGTATCTGTCCCCTTACTCATTTCTTTCTTTCTTTTTAATATAAGACAAAGACATCCAGGGTTAGTATAAAATGCAATTTTACATTTATTTAGGGAAAAGGGTGGAGGTAATTTCTTTTTTCCACAAAGGGCCAGGTAGGTTTGGATAGCTTTTTCCCTTTAATAAATTATATTACTTAGATATTTTAAGCAAATATAAAATGCAGTTTTTTAAATGATGATCATATCATTCATTAACATTACAATTTGTGAATATCAAATACATAAATGTGACAAATAGGCAATAAAATAAGAAAGGGGGCAAATACATTTTCATCCATCCAACCATTTTCTATTGCTTATCCAGGGCCAGGTCCCAGGCACAGCAGTTAGAGAATTAGAGAAGTCCAGACATCCCTATTCCCACCTGTCCCCTACTCATCCAGGTGCATTCCCAAGAAGAGACATAATCTCTCCAGCGAGTCCTGGGTCTACTTAGGGCCTTCTCCTGGTAGGACATTTCTTAAACACTTCATCGGATACCAAACATCCTCAACTGGCTCTTTTTGATGTGGAGAAAGAGCAGCTCTACTCTCAGTCCCTCACAAACGAATTAATCGTTCCCCTGTCTACAAGAGCACAACCACCCTTCAAAGAAAATTCATTCCTACTGCTTGTGTCCATGATTTAATTCTTTCAGTCATTACCCAGAGCCTATGACCATAGGTAAGGGTAAGAATGTAAGAATGTAGATCAACCCATAAATTGACTACTTCGCTTTTACGCTCAGCTCTCCCTTCACCACAAGTGATCACAAAGGATTGATACAGCATTCGCATCACTGTAGATACTGCACCAATCCAACTGTCAGTCTCCCACTCCCGCTCCCCTCTTTCCTCACTCATGAACAAGACCCTGAAATACTTCATCTCCTCCACTTGGAGCAGCAACTCGTCTCTGATGTGGAGTGGGCACTTCACCCTTTTCCTTCTGAGAACCATTGTCTCAGACTTGGAAGAGCTAATTCTCATTCCCAATGCGTCACACTGTGCACTGCTACAGTGCAAGCTGTAGGTCACCACCAGCCAACAGCACCACGTAATTTCCCCCTCCATGAATCGGCACCTACGAGGTTCCTGTACGTTATGTTGTGTGTGTGTGTGTGTGCGTGGAGGGAGGGGGCTTAGGCTTGGTGCAGCCCGAAGAGATGACCTGGGTCCGCCCTTCTGTGGGCTCACCACCTGCAGGACCCATAATAGGGATCGGGTGTATTGTGCATTGTGTGTTAAGTAAATGGACTGATTCTTATATAGCGCTTTTCTACTCTCCCGGAGTACTCGAAGCGCAGTATACAACATGCCTCATTCACCCATTCACACCTATTCATACAAGCACTTCTAAACTCAAGCGCAAACTAACCAACATTCATACACATTCACACTCCGAAGAACGCATCGGAGGGCAACTTGGAGTTAGTATCTTGGATATTTGGTATGCAGACTGGGGAAGCCAAGGATCAAACCACCAACCTTCCAATCAGTAGCTGATCTGCTCTACCACCAGAGCCACAGCCACCCCAGTAGCAGTAAGGGGCGGAGGCCCTGATGGTACAATCCCCTGATGGTCCTGAGTTGGATTCCACCACCTGTCCGGGGCCTTTCTGTCTATAGTTTGCATGTTCTCCCCATGTTTGCGTGGGTTCTCTCCGGGCACTTGTGCTTCCTCCCACAGTCCATAGACATGCAGTTAGTGGGGTTAGCTTAACTGGTAATTCTAAATTGCCCATGTGAATGTGAGTGCGAATAGCTATATGTGTTCATGTGTTAGCCCCTGCATGTCTTTCTACCCTTCCTACATTGCAAGTGATTTTAGGTGTGATTTTATAAGTTCTTCCTATATCAGAAAATGATGAAGAATAATGGGGAAAAATATAAAAATGCACTACAGCTTACAGTCAGAAGGGAGGAAATCTTCTGTGCTTCTCTTGTGAGGGGGTCAACGATTGCCACAACATCATAGAACACCTCGTTCTCACGTGGAGAGAGATTAAGCACGCTGAGGAACAAAAAAAAGCACACCAGAGCGAATTCAACAAACAACGTCATACAATCCTTAATCAGCAGAACTGCAAATCAAAAGACTTGCAGCTCGGCACTCCTTGAAAGGATGGCATTGCAATTTTCAGGCCCATTACAAAAAAAGGAGCATGAATACCGTCCAATGAGACTACAGATCCCAAAGGGGAAAAAGAAATCCCACCTGTGGGTGTCTTTGATAAAGTGGACATCTCTTCTGACTTCTCCTTTGGGGGCTGCAGTTAGCAGGGCATCAACTTTCATAACTAAGTCACTGGCACTGAGGGGAAAAAAATCAGTTTGTCATTTTTTTTAAAGCATTTGTGTTAGTGAAGATGTTAACCAGCCCTTGCGCAATATAATATCAAGCTCTAAACAGGCAGAGTCACGGTTTAATCAGGCTACTGTACCTTAAAACTGAGAACGTGACATTTCTTCATCACAGAATACATTCAAACATTTGATACATGAGGAAAAAAGAAAATCCCACACTAACAAATAATTCTAGACAAACTTAATGCAAAGGTGACACAGAGGGAAATTCTTAAACAGATGCACACATTTCTATCACAGACACTTAAAAGAGACAAGTAGGCCAAAAAGAAATACAAACATACTGCTTTGGCTTCATTCCCATCTGTTTAACTCTGGCTTTGACTTTCTCTGCAGAACCGCTCAGAGTAATCTTTTCCAGCAAGTGGAAATCCTCCACAGTGAATTCTTCCTGCTCTTCAAACGGACCAAGGATCTAACATGAGGAAAATAACACAGTCAGAACACGACTTTTCCCATTCTTATCTCACCATGTATTATGTACAACTTTCCCAGGGGATGTTAAATGTAATGTGATTGTGACACAGCGTTTTATCCACTTAAAGTCACGGTATTCAGTGAGGCTCCCTGGTTTTTCTATTCTGGGAGAAGAGCCCTACCACTGCAGCAGAGCAAAGTAAGATAATATTAATTGTTACTGCCATCACAGAGACTGGCCTCTTTATCCATGGTTGTCAGCATTGCTGTTGCTGAGACATCAGTCATCAGCTCTGTACACACGTACAGTGAGCACGTGCACACACACACACACACACAGCCGTGCCTGCCACTTGTGACCTTTGAGAAATAGACATCATGCTGATATGACAGTGCTAAGAAAGCACTCTGAAAACACTAGAGGGAAAAATCCTCCAAAAGTGCAGCTGCATGGAGAATCTTTCTCTGCTGTAGCAAACAACACCACCAGTGCTTCTTGTCACTGGCAAAAAAATGTTTTCTATTCAAGAGAAACCATCTAAAGAATCAGCTGCCTGTAACTATTTTTCAAGTCACGAGGAAATTGATAGTTGGTGAGTCTCAAGTCAAAAACCTTATCCCAGTGAAACTTCTTAAAAGAAGAAGGCATCTTCTAGATCATTAGTTGCCAAGTTACTGTCACCCTTAATTTTGAACAGGGCAATAGTTTCATTAAGTTAGTCGTATACTGAAATTAAACATCTAAAACAGTTTAATACATTTTCAAAGCTGGATGTGTTACTTTTAAAGAACAGAGGTAGATATTAATTGTGTGATTCATTTTGTGTGATTTTCTAACAATACTTTTGTACTGCTTATTAATTTCCCGTGGTTTTCGGAATCTGTACAAGCTGCATTACTACATTAAGGGAGAGAAGCTTTGAGTTTAAATTAGTTGAACTGTGGCTGGCTACTTGTTCAGACTGTGATCACACACACAGTTTATTTATTTATTGTGTTTCTGATTAGAATATTGGGAAGTTGCTTATGCACAGAAAATATGACATTATCGTACACATTTGCTTCCTCCTTGTGTAGCATGACTGCAGGGCTTTTCCTGCTTATGAAATTTTCGAGCACCAAAGAGCTTTGGTTTTTAGCCAGAGAAAAATCACCAGGACTGAGTTTTTATGTAAGTGGGGTTACATTTTTTTTCCAACAATATCTTTATTATTTTTTACATTTTAATGACTTACAAACAGTCCAACATTCTAAATACTACATGAACATACACTCCTCTCAGACAGCAAAAAGAAAACTAAAAAGTCGTCAGATTTATCACTCCATTAAAGGCCTAAAATTGTCATTATCCCAAATCAAATGTCATTGCCCTCAGTCCTCGTCCTCCTCAGATAATACAAATCCTTCTACAAAATTCACAAATGGTCTCCACACCTTCTCAAAAACATCCAATTTCCTTTTCAGTATACATGTTATCCGCTCCAATGGCAAAGCCACCATCATTTGTTTTATCCACTGTGTGATACTCCGTTCCCTTGTTTTTTTCCATTTTAGTGCAATTAATCTTTTTGCTTGTAACAAACCCATATCAATAAACATTCTGTCACTTTTTGTGTACCTCATGTTTTCTGGGTACAATCCCAGAATAAGGAAGCCAGGATCCAAAACAACCTCCTTGGATAATATTTGTTTCATAGTTTGTGTTACTGCAACCCAAAAGGAGCGAATCTTTCTGCAATCCCAAATACAATGCCAAAAGTTACCCTTATCTTCATTACATTTATTACAAGTGTCTGGAATATTAGAGTTGTACTTATTTAATTTTTCCGGAGTAACATATATTCGCATTAACCATTTGTATTGCAACAACCTTAGTCTAGAATTAATAGTTTGTTTATGAGCTTTTGCGCAAACCAATGCCCATTGTTCCATGGATATGTCCTTCTTTAAATCATTTTTCCAGGCGTTCAACCTTCCCAACGAATTGTCAGATGTTTTGGACCTAATCAATTTATATATTTCTGATATTGCCCCTTTTTTTGAACTGCTTTTGCTAATTATGTCTTCCAATTCTGATTTTGGTGGTTTGGTACAGGTATTATTTTGATTTGCTCGAATGCAACTTCTAATTTGGAGATATTTGAAAAATTGCTTTCTATCTATATTATATTTATGTCTAAGCATATCAAAGGACATCATATCTTGAGAATCTGTTGCATACAAATCTTGGATTTTTTGGAGTCCTTTAATTGACCATTGTCTAAAAACTTCATCCTCTCTTCCTGGTCTGAAATCCTGGTTTCCCCACATCGGTGTAAACTGTGACAATACAACAGGTTCCTTCATATATCTTTTTACATCATACAACACTTTGACCATGTTCTTTACCATTGGATTTTTCGCCTCTTTAATCAAGTTTATTGCTGTGTCTGAGAAAAAATATAAAGGTAAAGGTGGATGCAAATTAATACTTTCCATCTCTGACCATTACGGGGCGTTATTTAAGTCAAAATAGTATCTTATAGACCTGATTTGACATGCCCAGTAATACCACTCAATATTTGGACACATGACACCACCCTCGTTGTATGGTAGATGCAACAATGATAATCTTATCCTTGGTCTCCCATTTTTCCATAAAAAACCGAGAACAAGCTTTTTGATCCAGCTAAACCAATCAACAGGAGGCGGCAGGGGGATGTTCTGATACGCATAAAGCACCTTTGGCAGTATACTCATTTTGTATATATTAATCCGACCAATTAAAGAAACTGGTAGAGATATGCATCTGTCCACTATCTCTGTTATTTCTTTAGAAAGTCTTTCATAGTTATTTTCCACGATCTCACTTAATTTGGGCGAAATCATTATTCCTAAGTACATAAAGTCCTTTACTGTCTTAAAATTAGATGTTACTATGGGTGGGTTTTTCCTTTCTTCTTCATTTAGTAATAAAACGGATGATTTAGATTTGTTAATGACATACAAGTGGGGTTACATTTACTCATGAGTCTTTACCCATATGCCAAAAAATAACAGCAGAAGTCAGGTTACACAGCCGTAAGTATATGTGTTCAGTCATTAGTGGCGTGGTTCTTTTAGACCGAGGAAAAACCCTGGATTTACTGCATCCATTGTCAGTTTTTAACTATGCATAAGCTGGAGCCCACTCACCCTCCCATTGCTGATCACTGCACACTGTCCAGGATTGAGTTTCAGTACGTCTTGACAGAATAACTGCTGAGTGCGGATAAAATCAACTTCAAGGGTGTTGAATTTTTTCTCAAAGGCATCCATATCCATGCCCTACAGCAGAAAAACAAAAGTTTGTTTACAATGTCAGATAAATTGATTGCATCGCTGGTTGGCTAACACATTTCTGAAGAATATGTGATGTAATCCATAGTTTGTGGTCAACTGAAATATCCAATAACACAGCTGAAAGACATTTCTCTCATTTCAGCCTGTCCAAAAATGTAAAGAGTGATGCATTGACATAAAAATGATGTATGTGAGACAAAAAAAAAAAATATTCGCAGAATCATTGATGCCTCGCATCAGCACAATCACTGCAGTTTTCAAACATAAAATATTTCAGCCGGACCTGTCAGAAATGCACATGTGTGAAAATGAGATTAATCAATTTGTAATTAATATAACAAACTAATTAAGCCCCTGCCAGTTTTGTCTATAACAAATTAGGTTTGGGAGTGTGGCGGGTTTGTGGAGTCAGGTTATTAGTTTCTCCAACATTTCTCTCCTCAGGAGAACAGGTGAAATACCAATAATGTCAGCACAATCCAGTCAGCAAGTCTGTCTGGCAGCCAATAATAAACTCATATCCCTTGGCTTTGGGTCTCAAGTCACACTGCTACATCCTACCTATCACCCCATCTCTATTTCCAGCCTATTCGCTCCCAATTGTGAAAGGCTAGTATAACTGAGGGGAACTTCATTATAGTAGGTCCTAAATAAAAAACAAACAAACTACACAATCTACTGCATAACTGATGGTGAATATACTCCATCAGCTGATTTGTTGATTAGTGGCTGAGAATTTGCTTGCGTATGCACAATCCTTTGTGGGTGGTTACTGCGCATTACAGCATGAAGACAGGAGAATGCTTTAGTTCTGCCTTAAAGCAGCAGTGATGGTCAGGCTTGGCTGAAAACATGTGGATCACATAACCAGAAGCTGTGAGCAGTTGGCTATTTATCAGCTTCGGAAGACCATGTTTACACCAGCACATTTTAGTTAAAGATTCATAGTGTGTTGCAGTCTTTAAATGGCCTCAGTGACATTTCAAGTGGAACTGACAGTGAACAGGCTGTTTGCCTGGGTGTCCATGGAGTGTGGAGTATCATGCGTGCTGTAAATGCGTTCCGTGAGTTGATGTTCAGGAGAGAGATAAGAGAATGGGCTCATCAATCACTATTTTCCCTGACTGTGCACTTTTTCTCCTTTTACCTCCATTAAACCATTTACCTAATCAAATATATTATTAAATACTTATCAGTTATATCAGAGCAAAGCAACTTTCTTACCAAGTGATGCACTTGGTATGAAACTGAAGTTTTTTCTTTGGACAAGTAAACTTTGATAAGGTAGCCATGCACAAGATTCAAGTTAATCTAACTTTTGTGTCTCTAAAATAGATAGCGTTCCAACAGTTTTAACTGCTGTCTACTTTATAAATGCACACAGATTGCCAGCATCTTGCCATCAGTCTGAATAAGTCTTTGTCAATGACTCAACTCAATTCAGGTCATATTCTTGTTATATTCCTATAGAACAGGAAGGGTGCTGAACACAAACGTAATAGTTATATGTAATAGTTAACAGGCAGCAAAAGATATATAGATATACAATTTTCAACAATTTATCACAATTATTCCCAGGTTTATTATCAGAGATAGATTGTATGAAACTGCCAATTTGATCCCAGTCGATCACAGACTGATATCCGACTGACTCCATCTTATGCCAAGATTTATGGCCGGTTTTAATGACAGTGTTCCTATGCTTGACAATCTTATTGTGCAACAAAAAAATAACTGCAATAACTTTATCTTACAGAATAAAATAAATATTTGACAAAGATTAACTTTGTGGACATAGTTTCCAGTTAAAAAAGGTGACAAATTAAAATGTGCGTTATTGGAGCACTGATAATATTGGAAAATGTTAGAAATCACAATATCATATTGTGGGTGAAATATTGCGATAATATAATATCACATGGTGTCTGGTGATTCCCATCTCTACTAAACATCAGCATGAATATAACGCATCCAAAATATATAGATGGGTGGATTGTTGGTGGCTATACATAGATTGTCTAATCTATGTCTAAATTTGGAAATAGTTGAATTAAAACAAACACCTATTTGATCAAATAAAAACTCAAAGTAAAAAAAAAGGAGCAGTGAAAAAAACAAGCTCTTATATTAGCTCTTTCAAGGTTTGCCACCTTCAAGGTAAAAGTCAGATCATGTGGTTCCAATATGATTTAAAGTAGTGATTCTAATATAAAAGAATATATATATATAAAGCCCAAACAAAATATGTGTAGTCTGAAAAGAAAAGAAAAGAGCATTCTTTAATCCCCTCTTTACCTGCATCAGTAAGTCTTTCATCTTGGTCCCCTGCTGGAGGAGCTGGCTGCTCTCCTCTTTTAGGAGTTTATGCACAAACTCTGCCGCAGCCTTATTCTTCTGGGTGAGGAGAGAGGCCCAGATAGCCTTGTACAGCACAGTGTTATCGTCGTAGGGTTTTTCACTGGGGTTATCTATCACCCCCACACGCACTCCAGGACTGGCCTTCTGCTTGCGCACACACACATAAACATAACAGCACTATAATTCACAGTAATAGCAGACATGCTCATATATCCAGCTACCACATATGTCACTGATGAAGAGCTCTCAGAAAATAGTGCTTTAAAGTAAAGATCTCACCTTTTCAACCTAATCTACTACTAATGATCTCTAAGTGACAAAAAGAACATTTGCTTTATTACGTTATTCATCTGTACAATATCACCACAACATATTTCAGTTAAGATGCATCTACACTGATGATTTTTTGTGAGAGCACAAAGCAGAAAATGACATTTTAATTATAGTTTTTGTTATGAACCTGCCATGATAATCACCACCAAAACCATTTCAGAGTTCTGCCTCCCTTCCACTTCTATTTGATTTTTTTAGTGCACAAGTTTTGTTGCTTTAAGGATAAGTTAGAGTATTCGATTTATCTGTTATGCCTCCTAAGACATCCTGTGTACATCCTAAATGATAACATAAATTAAAGAAGTGAAAAGAACACTATTGATTTTACTTACCAGGTGTTTCAGAGCACTGAGCAAGAGTTTTCGTCCTGACACCTTCTGAAAATCCCCAACTACCCACAGAGTTACAGGAGTCATCCCGTCCTCATCTGAGGTAAAAGAGTAAAATCTTTATAGAATAATGTGTACAATACAAATAAGAGCCATTACTGTAAACCATTATAAACTCAGAATCTACTTTATATTCTTTAGCTTTCTAATCGTAAGTATCCTGTTATCCCCAAGAGCAGTCTATTTTGGTTTCTAGTGTCCTGTTCTTTCCTGTTCTTCAGCTGCAGCAGTCTGTTCTCTCTTCGAGTGTAAGGTGTAGCAGCTTCAACCATGTCTGACTCTTCTTCTTCACAAGTTGTTTTGCTCACAGAAGTGTCGCAGATTTTTTGTTTGTTTTGTTTTTGTACCACTAGGGACTGTTTTTCATTAAATCCCAGGAGAACAGCGGGTTTTTTGTTTTTTTTCGGTTTGGTACCAACTAAAGGCACTTAGATCCCATGTGTTTCTCATTCTAATGTTTGGTTAACATAACATTTTGGCCACGTTTGTACGCTTTTATGTACTGAGGTGCAGCATTAATGGGATAGTATGCAGGTGCAGCTGATTAGTTAGCCACAGCAAGTATAATCACTTCACCAGTAGAGGACAAATTTATTTATGAAGAATTCAATCTCTCAATGTTGACCTAAATGTTTACACAGCTCTCAAAGACAGTGTCTTGTAAAAGGTCCTACTCTGTCTATACACTGATAATCACATGACATTGAGAGGGGAATGAAATGTAGTTATTATAGAGAATGTTTAGTTTGTGTCAGAGGTGAGAGAGACTAAGACATCTGTCACATATTATAGAAGAACCTTGCCACCTGTCATGGTCATATTCCCGCCCCGGCCAGTCAGCCAGTCCTTCAGAAAAGCAGGCAGTTGGCCCGACAGCTACTCCACAGAGAGAGAATGGCAATCAGCCTCCTCTGAAACACTGCAGCTAGACTCTGGGCCCGAGCAGCGAAATGCAGCTCTGATGACCATTTAGACTGCTGGCCAAAAGCCAGTCAGAAGACCCAGCAATGATTTTGCTGGAAGCACAGCCTGCTAGCCCTAATAAAACCCAGTTTCATATTTCCATACATCAGCAAAGCAGTGTGGGATTCAATTTGTTTATTAAAAAAAATGCTAATTTTACAGATACACCTTATATTATTGTACAGTAGTTATTCCAGTTTATACAGCATTATGTTTCTAAATATGAGATTTCATCTGAAATAGTGTTTACTGGGAAAGCAAACCAAAAAGAAGTGACTTCTTACCACTATTTGTGAAGTACTTCATTCTCTTAGCAATCACTGCCGTTTTGTCTCTGGTGTCCACATAAGAAAACATATATGTGTCTTCCCAATCATCTGCAACTGCATATAAAGGAAAGTATAACATAAGAGGAATGTAAACAGTGGCATCTATATTTTATGGAATAGAACAAGGAGCACCTGGAGTGGCTGTGAGGTCAAGGTACTTTCGGTCACTGCTTAAAATAAGAGGGTTCATCCTGGGAACCACATTGGCCTGTTCCATTAGATAGTCTACCACATCTGAGCCTTCAGATAACTGGCCCTATAAGGTGAAGGACATAAAGTGTGTTAGTTACATAACTGACAGCATGAACAAATTGCCACCGGTGCAGTTCCCCAGTGCTTGAGTACTTCAGTTCACTCATGTCTGGGTTTTTCCTGACTCAAAGTGGGCCTTTGGGAAATGAATCATTATTGGTCCACATATAATTAAGGTAATGAGTATGCATTGCTTTACTTAACAGAAGTCTTATGAATTTCCCTCTCATCCTTCCCATTTGAAAAGTAAAACTGTATTTTGTCACTCAGTAAATTAATCTCCATTCAAAGAAAACTGTTTAAAAAAGTGTTTTTAATGACATTGCTGCTAATTTTGGTCAGATTTTCTTTCATATGCAGGACAAACCCGCCTATATATGAATGTAAAAATTTCACCTCTCATTACAACAACAACAAGACAAAAAAAAAAACACGTTGGTTTCATAGGCTGAATATGAAGAGTGAGTCTCGTTTCATGCAGATGCATCATACCATAAAGACAGCTCTCTGAAAGGCAGTAGTGGTGTCCATTATGCGCTGAAGGATGACTGTTTCCAGCTCCTCTGGGTCCATCTCATAAGGGCTCAAAGGGACTCCATTAAATAAAGCCAAAGGCAGGGCACCCAAGCCACTCTTTTTGTAGAAGAGCGCACCATCCTACAGCCAACAAAAGTTAAAAGCAGACCTGCTGCTCTTCATCAATCATACGTTATTACTTTCACTTTCAATTAACAAAAAAACATCTTACCTTCCTTTTATCATCATACTCTGATTCAACTCCTAGAATCCTTTCAGAGTTGGCTTTTGGGAATTTTCTCTTTAGGTAAGCAGTTATTGTATCCGCAGAGAGCGTCTCCCCTACATCGACTTTGCTATACAGCTGCAAGAGAGTAGCAAGGAAGTTCAGACTTGACCATCACTCTCTTCAGATCCCTCTCAGTGTCAGTACTTTCCACCGCAATTTTAAAAAGCAGATAGCTGAGGAAAAATACCACTGACTCATCTATTTCAACAATGTCTCAAACTGTAGGATAACACAAGTAAAATATTATGCAACTGATTTCCTAGGCACGCAGAGATATGAGCTGGCAAGAAACACTTGCTAAAACAACAGAGATTTATATATGCGATATACTTACTGAGACCACAGACATCAGAGCCTGGGGTAAATCATACTCGTCTGCAATGTAATTCAGCAGTCGGTAAAATCCAACCCCTGCATCTGAGAAGCCATCAATCTCATCTTTGGTGTTGACAACAAACACAAATCCAATTCTGTACAAACGGGACAAAACAAGTATTCAATTTGCAGGTGAAATGAGAATCACTACCTGGTAAAGATTATGAATGCCAAGAGCGGACCATATAAACAACTGTGGAGGTGTGAAAAATTGCAGCATCTACCTCAGGGGGATCTTATGCTTGTGGAAAAGCTCTGCTAGCTTCACGAGCTCACCACTTTCTTCCTGCAGTGGATCTAAGAACAGCACCTAACAGCAGAGGTATCGTTATCAACCCCTGGTCGTAAAGCTTTGCAAACAACTGTGTGCCAACCTGACTTACACATGAAGTAAACTTTAGAAAAAAACAAATCAAAAACCAACACATCAGCAAGTTGAACCCAGGCAAACTAGAAAAACAGAGGCAGTGATTTAAATTTTTTATTTTGTCTGACAAATCCTAAGACATGTACAATTTAAATGTATAATAAAGACCTGTCTCAGCTCCATTTCTTTTATTACCCACACCACTGTTTTTTCTTTATTGCATTAATGCAGTGTAAACAAATAGGAAATGCAAAGTCCAGCTGACTAGTACTCAAACCATGTTCTCATTTGTGAATTTACTGGCTTGTCTCTCACTTGGTACTTCAGTTGTTCTGATAAACTCACCAGGTTAAAGAAATTGCGTCTGATCTGCCGGATGACTCCGGGAAAGGTGGCTCTGAGGAGCTCCTGTACACCAGTTGGCCAGCTTCGGTACATTAGGTCATTCTCAATGTCATTTATCCACTAAAATGTACAGGTACAGGGCGCAGAAGAGTTAGTGGGAAAATATTCACTAGTTAATAATAACAGTAATCCCAAAGGTGCAGCCAAAATATGAAAAATAACAGAGAGATTAAATATTTAATGCATGAACAGTTCAGACTTCCTCTCTGGTTGTCATACGTAAGAATTTAGAGACATTTCATTTAGGAATGTGGAATTTTATAGATATATACACTTGAAATTTGCCCAAGGACACAACGACCGAGACTGTCCAAGCCAGGGCTCGAACCGGCAACCTTCCGATTACAAGGCAAACTCCCAACTCTTGAGCCACGAT